AATAAATCCTAAACACTCTAATCAAGATGGATTGGGATAATTATCAACTAGAAATAATATAAAAGCAACTAAAAATAATAATGGAAAAATGCGAAAGATGCTAGGGAATCGGGAACAAATGTTTTGAACCGAAATGCAATCGTCGGCTCGTAATTGTTCGGTTAAAGAATTTGAGTCACCTACACGTTTAGAGGTTCATCCTCAATACCTTTCGGATTATGAGAATAAATATAAACGATAAATTAATGAGTTGTTTAACACATAGACAATACCTTTCGGATTATGTCTATTTTGTATGAGTCTCGATCAATTGACCTTTCCCCTTTCGGTTCAAGAGTCGATTAAAATAGACTATAGGCTTATCAGTCGTCTAGTCTATTCGGATCGTGATTGTCACAATAGAATGCATCATATTCAATTTGAAAACAAGTTTAATATTGAAGTGTCACTCTTCAATACTTAGAAATCAATTGCAAGGTTGAATTGTCACCTTTCAACAATATGTCATTCCAAAGAGAAAATCGAAAACCGAATTTAAAACTAACTCATACAAAGTGAACAATCAACGAGCGCAATGGTTACATACGAAATCAAATATTCATTCCCTATCCCTAGCAAATAATTTAGCTATTTATATAAAAAATAAACTCAACATAAGATCCATTGAAAATCATCATTACAAGAAGGAAAACTTACAAGTAATCCAAGTCGAGAAATAGTACAAGCCAAACCGAATATCGAAAGAACACTTCCAAAACTTCGACACAAGAACAAAACTAATCTAGAAAAACACTAATATGAGAGTGATGGTAGTGATAATTTGGATGTTGAGGGATTGTTCATAACTTGCACATCTTCCCCCTTTTATACTTCTTTCATCCATCATTTAAGCCACTTAAAATCCCAAGACATAGAGGAATTCTTCCATCATTCAAGCCACAAACATGGAGGAGTGAGTGCCTCAAAACATGGACAAGAATCATGGAGAGAAATATGGAGAAAAGTGGAAGAAAACATAGAAGAAAATCGTCCACCATCTCAACTAATATGAAAGTGCCCTCAAAATATGGTGTAGTACCTCAAAACATGGTGAAAATGGCTTAAAACATGGAGAAAATCCGAGTGGAGGGTCTAGGTGTGTTGCAGGCTCTTCCGCGGCCGCGACTTTTAGCTGCAGAAATTGGGTCCCGAGGCTGCGACTTCTAGCTACTGCCCGCGGAGAAAATTCTGTTGTGCGCGACTTTACGTTTCGGGCTCGTTTGGGCTCGTTTGAAGTCGGAATTGAGTTCTATTTTTTCCTATGCGTAATTAACGAACACCTCTATCCAATGGTTGAAGCAAACCAAACTTTTGCCCAGAATAAAAATTTTGAGGAATTTCCAACCGTTAAAGGGTCGGTAACTTGCACGACTTTACGTTTTGGCCCTGTTTGGATTCATCCGAACTCGAAATCGAATTCCGCTTTTTCCTATGTGTAGCCAACAAAGTCCATCTACACAACCATGATTGCTCGGTCTATGTTGAGCTAAATTGACTCCTCACGAGACTTCCGACCTGCACACCAAAAACAAGAAGAAAAAGGGAAAAAACACACGAAAAACACAATGAAAACAAAAATGGAACAAAACACATAATAAAACACAAAACGAACTAAAAACTCACCAAAGGACCTAAAACGGAGGAAAAAGAATGATAAAACCATAACGAAAAATACAACAAAAATGGGACAAATAACTCCCCCACACTTAAACCTTCGTTCGTCCCGAACAAAAAGAAAACAAACACGAACAAGTGTACGAGATTCACATAAGAAAAGTTGTCAAGATGCCCAGCTCAAATGAGTCGAATTCAAACAATCGAATGACCACATTCTTCACATATCGCCTTGGCCTGAGATCACAAACTCTCAACATAGGAATATCAATATGTGCCTCACTTATTCTTTTGCTAACATATATTACAGCTACACTCAAATTGATTAATATCCAAGTGTTACCATAAGCTTGCCTATCGTCTAAAATACTCAAAAATAATCAAAATTCAAGATAGCAAATCAAGAGGATTTAATGGGTTAAATGCAGATTTTGGTCACGGAAAAGATAAACACATAGGCCGAGAAACTCAAATAGATATTGATAAGTTCGAGAGAATACCCGCTCAAAGTCCACTCCTCGACCGTAAACAACACATGATATCACACAAACCGTATACACAACTCCACAATCCTTACCACAATGCTCTTATCACGGTACACTTCACTACTTGAGATTTTTCTTTTCTTCTTTT